TTGTTGCTGTTGGATTGTTTTTTGATTGATTTGTAGATCTAGTCCTCCACTTACAACTACAGTTGAGCCCAATATTTCTGGTGCTAAGTGAGATAGTTGTTAAGTAAATTTTGCCTCATTTAACAACCTTCCTTGCCACAGTTGTTAAGTGAACCACTGCAGTTGTTAACAGTGACATGGTTATTAATTGAAACTGGCTTTCCCAGCGACCTTGCTTCTTCTTCTTGTGCCATATCCATTATTGGATGTTGGCGATCATGTTGGCAATCCTGATTTTATCAGCAGCCGCATAAAAAAGTGCTGCTGAGTTTTGTCCCAACCAGTCCCTTAGATTTTGAAGCCACGATGTTCTTCTTCTGCCTGGACCTCGTTTACCTTCAATCTTTCCCTGGAGGATTAAATGGAGTATGCCGTATTTTTCTGGGTGTCGCTTCACATGTCCGAAATATTCTAATTTTCATTTTTTAATTGTTTTGATGATTTCCCTTGGCTTTCCCAGGTGGCTTATCACCTCCTCATTTCAAATGCTTCTAGTCTCTTCAGCTGGCCTTCTGTCAGAGACCAGCTCTCTACTCCATAGAGCAGCATAGAAAAAATATAGCATCTGTTGTTAAGTGAATAACTGCAGTTGTTAACAGTGACATGGTTATTAAGTGAAACTGGCCTCCCCAGCGACTTTGCTTGTCAGCTCACAAAAGGGGATCGCAGGACATTGCGACTGTCATCAATATGAGTCAGTTGCCAAGTGTCTGAATTTTGATCCTATGATCATGGGGAATGCCAGAACAGTCGTAAGTGTGAAAAATGGCCATAGGTCACTTTTTCCGGTGCCATTGTAACTTCAAATTGGTCACTAAGTGAACTATTGTAAGTTGAGGATTACCAGTATTGTTCTTAGATTGTTTTAGCTGGGACTGTCTACGTGGTTTTAGATTTTATTATTTATTTATTTATTAGTTTTATACATCAAGAGAATCCAGCAGGCTTGGGAGGTTATACAGTAATAAATAATGATAAATACATACTGATTCCTTCACCTTCTTTCAGCTGGCTCAAATTCCATCTTTTGGCCTAGCAAGCCAGTTAGCTTTTCAACTTTTGTTTATCCTTGATTTTTCAAAAAAAAAAAAAAAAAAAATCTGGATTGCCAGCTTCCAAGTAGCCACTAAATGAACACTGCAGAGTTTTGCCATCACCTCCTGATTGTTTGAAAGTTGGCTGTCCCGATCTGATAGCTCTTCCTTTTCCTTTTCTGACTACTGTCCTATTACTTCAAAAATGATAAGCCAAACGCAGGAAATTTGGGAAGGAGGACTCCCATATATTAATTTAGAGTGGGCTAAACAGACGTGAGATATGTAGTCACTTCAAAACCAATGTTTGCAGTAATCCTTGGAAGCTTTGTATCGTAGATCCACCTGTGCTTAGCAGTTTCTATAGCAAATTAAGGTTACGTAGCAAAATTAGCTAGGTATTTACAGCTGGTGAAAGAAAAGGTCGGACAGGTTTGGAAGAACATTTGCGAATGGGGTAAACCAGAAACAAAAGTTTGTAGAGCTAAAGAAGGGAACTTAGAGGCCCATAGATAAAATATGCTTTGGTCCATATGAGTTTCTGAACTGGTTTAGGCTGGCTTGTATTAAGACCAAGCTATTTCTAGATTATTATTATTTTTTGCAAAAGAAGTAAACTTTAGCATGGGTCAGAAGGAAGGCTAAGAAAATATCATAGATACCTCCAGTGCTTTTTTTCTAAAAAAAAAAAAAAAAAAAAAGGTGGAGGAACTCACACATGACATACAACCCGCCTTGCCTACCTTATAAGGTTCCATCCAAAAAAGATGTCGGAACTCCGTTCTGGGCATTCTATGAGAAAAAGAGCCCTAGATACCTCACATCCAAGACATAAACTGTTTCAATTCCTCCCCTTGGGATGCCACTAGAGGGCATTGCATGCCAAAACAACTCGACACAAGGACAATTTTTCCCCATGCCATCATTCTGCTAAACAACTAATTCCCACAACACTGTCTTATGTCTAAGCATATTTACCCATGTAGAAGGCTATAGTGCTATTATCCCTCTCATCTTCTCTATTACCTTAGTGGTATCATTATTATTGATTATTATTGCTCGGTTGTTCTGCATGTACACTGAGAGCTTCTGCACCGGAGACAAATTCCTTCTGTGTCTAATCACGCTTGGATAAATAAAGTATTCTACTTTCTATTCTATTCTATTTAGTAATTACAAACATCATAATCTGCACTGTTAGGACAACCCTTCATTTGTGGCCTTTCTAGTTTTCATTTAGGTTGGCCAGTCCTATTTCTGGCAAAGGTGCTGTTGTTAGCTGCCTGTGTGGCAAAAATCTAACAACTGAAATTCACCCCAGAATTTCATTCCAGCCCTGTATTTTCCTCTCCAGCAAAGTGATGCCTGCAACATTTCTTTTATTAAAGACTCAGAAGCTTTGTCAGGAATAAAGACGGTCACTGTTCATTATCAGATCTTCCAACTGGGTGAAGTACCACCCACCAAGATGTATTGGCCGGACACCCAAAGGTGCTTTTTTCAAAAGGCAGCTGAACTTTCTTTGTTTTTCCTTGACGACATTTCACTTCTCATCAAGAAGGTTCTTCAGTTCTGCATAGCTAAATGTCTATGGCAGTGGTTCTCAACCTGTGGGTCGGGACCCCATTTGGGGTCAAACGACCATTTCACGGGCGTCGCCAAACAACGCAGTCCGCCATTTTTTCCCCTTTTCCTTAGCTGTGCTACTTAGCTGTGCTACTCACCAAACAACGCAGTCCACCATTTTTCCCCCTTTTCCTTAGCTGTGCTACTCCCTTTTATTCTATTGGCTTTTGAAAGCCAATAGAATAGACTCTCTTGAATAGAGTCTAATTCTATTGGCTTTCAAAAGCCAATAGGAATTGTCCAGGCTGTCTCTGCCCTGCTGAGCCCGCCAAAAGTCCCAGTCTGCAAATGGTGCTGCACCAGTTGAGTAGTCCTCGACTTACGACCGGTTAAGTAGTCCTTGACTTACGACCGGTTGGGGGTCGCGGCATTAAAAAGGTTGAGAACCACTGGTCTATGGAGATTTTCTGTCATCCAGATCATGACTGAAGAAGCCTCTTGGATGAGAAGCGAAACATCTTCAAGGAAAAACAAAGAAAGTCCAGTTGCCTCTTGAAAAAAAGCACCTTTGGGACAACCATGACCAGGATGATTGAGAGTCTCCATAGATATTGGAAGGACAAGGCAAAGATGGGTGTGCTTACCTTCACTACTGTGAATATCACAGGGCCATGGAGAAATCTATGTATTCTGGGTTGATTTAAATGGTGCAGAAAACAGGGCAGCTACGTTCCACATCTAAGCCAGCTTTTTTCAACCTAGAATCCTGTACAGTACATGTATTGGACTGCAGCATCTATCATCCTGGAACAATTGGGGTGATGGGAATGGTAGTGATGTCTAGTGGCTTGCACTGTCAATGTTGGAGGTTCTTTGGTTGGACTGATTATTGTTAGCTTGTTTGACAGTTCTTTTATCGGGGTATTGTTTACTTCTTGTTTGTTGGCCTGATGTTAATCTTGGTGTTATGTTCATCTGGTGTTGATTGTCGGTGGGAAAGTGTTTGGGTCTTTTTGTTCCTTTTGGTTTGTTGATTGTCTCTTTTGCACAATATGTAGATGTTGTTTGTGTCTGTTGATAGCCAATTTGAGTGCCAGGCTTCCTGGAATTTCCTAGTATATTTGGACTTGGCTTGGTCTAAGATGCTCATAGTTTCCAAGTTGAAACTATGGTTAAATCTGTCCACATGTTGTGAAACTGAAGTTTTAATCATGTATTCTGACTGTTAATTGGTGTTCATGGGTGTGTTCTGCCTGTTTGTCCTAAGAAGTGGCTGCTGCAGTCTTAAACTCTATGTTGTAGATGACTCCTGTTTTTTTTTTTTCATTCTGGGGCTGTAGGGTCTTTTGGGGTGTTTTGGAGGGCTTAAGTTGGTTTGTGTGCTATGCTGATTCCATGTGTTGTAATAGTCTGTTGAGTGGTTTCTGAGATGTTTTTATGATGTATGGCAGTGTTATAAGGAATTATAGTCCAATATATTTGGAGGGTGTTTGTCTTAGGCAGATTGCTCTAGCTTTTGAAGAAATTCTTGTAATGGAGTAACGTTATAAAAACCAGTGTGATGTACTATGGTTAGAATATTGGACTATCACTTGGACGACCCAATTCTAGTCCTACCTCAGTCACCAAAGCTTAATGGATGATTTATGGCCTCTGTCTCTCAGCACAGTATGTAGATGTTGTTTATGTCCATGTGTCTATTGACTGCCGATTTGTCAGAGTGACAGGATTCCCAGAGTTATCTAGCATTTTTGGACAAGGCTTGAACCTTAACAACTCAAAAGTTGTTATAGGGAAAACTGGGAGAAAAGGGTGTTACTTATGCCTCTTTGATCTCTTGAATGAAAAGTGTAAATACCTAAAAAAAATCAAGAGAGGCAGGATAGACATCTACACTAAATAAAAGTGGGGGGGGGATATACAACTGTGAAAATATGTTTTACATTAAGAACAGGGGAATCTGATCTATTAGTTAAGATGTCTTCTCAACATGACTACATACTTCTGTGCACACAATATGAACTTGCTTTATGAGTAAGAGGTATATTTTACCTGGGGATTACCAACAACAATAACATTTAGAGTTATATACCACTCCTTAGTACTTTACAAGACTTTCTGGGCAGTTTACAATGTCAGCATGTTGCCCCCCCCCAAAAAAAAATCTGGGTCCTCATTTTACCAACTTCAGAATGATGGAAGGATGAGTCAACCTTGAGCCAGTCAGTATCAAACTCTAGGCTGTGGGCAGAGTTTGCCTGCAGTATTCCATTCTAAGTCACTGCGCCATCATGGTTCTGTATTATTTCTTATTTTATTGTATTATTTCATATTTTGCAGCTACTGTCTCAGGATTGAGCCATGGTTCTTAAGGCCTACTGCTTTTGGGCTCTCCTCCTCCTGCTCTGCCTCCCAGCTACTTCCTTCTTCGTCTGCAGTGAAGTTTCATCCTATAGACACTTTTTCAGGAGGCATGTGGACAACCCCAAGACGGACCTTCAGAATGATCACAACTACTGCAACCGAATGATGCGCCACAAGGGTTTGAAATGTCAACGGAGCAACACTTTCATCCATGCCAGCAGCAAACAACTAATCGCCATCTGCAGCTCCGGAGGAAAGAAACTGGACGGCAACCAGACCAGCAAAACCCTGTTCCCGATCACCATCTGCATCAAGAGTAACCACCACAGGACCATTTTTTGCAAGTACCAAGGGAGGAGTGAGATCAGGAAGATCCGAGTCACTTGCTCTAAGGGCCTTCCGATCCACTACATTACCCACACTTGAAAGAAGGGAAGAAATATGGTGGAACCAAAGATCCTTTTCTACATTGCTTTGGCAACCTTCCCTCCTGTGTTCTGCTCTCCCTCATCTGCACATGCTCGAACTGAGCTGACTTCATTGCTTGGCAATATCAGTTTTCTCCATGTTAGTCTATAGCAGTGGTGGTGAACCTATGGCATGCGTGCCAGAGGTGGCATGCGCCATCGCCCCAGCACACGTGGTCTCTAAAAGTTTGCCATCACTAGCCTAAGGCCAGGCAGCCTGGAGCCGCCATTGGGGAGCCCACCATCCCACTTGCCAAAGACCCCCTGGATCTCCCCCAACCCTGCCCAGCTCCCACATGTGTCCCTTCCCATAAGCAACATCAAGGTGGCCATGCCCACCCCGGCCATACCCACCCAATCTGCCATGACTACTGCAGCCACACCCATCCAATGGCCATGCCCATCCAGTCTGCCAAGCCCACTGTAGCTGCGCCCACTGAGTGGGCCACACTCACCCGGCACCCAGTGATACATAAGTGGGTTTTGGGTTGCAGTTTGGGCACTCGGTCTCTAAAAGGTTTGCCATCACTGGTCTATAGCCTTCCTGATTGATTTGATTCTCTTTTACCACCAAGTACAGCTTGGTGATCTCATCAGTCTTTTAAAGTTCAGCTGGGATAGCCTTCGTAGTTTCTTTAAACTCCACATGTGTCCATGCAAATAAAGCTGCGCTGTCTTCTGTTATAATTTTCTGGTGTTTGACTCCCTCCTTGTGCCTTTTCTGCAGCATGACAAACCCAGTAACACTGGATTCATCCTATTGACCATTGAGCTGAACCTCCAGATCAGCCAATCTCAGCCTATCACATTGTGGGACAGCTAATCCTCTAATCTTCAACCTGTATAGGCCATCATACAATTTATAGAGAATGGCCTTAATTATGGCCTAGTTTGTAATGGATGTGAGGGTGAGGATCTTTATTGCTTCTCTTGTCATTATTTTTCAGCAAAATTATCCACCAGGGATTTGAGAAGATTGTTATCTGCATCAGAGGTTGTCCTTTGCGATCACATGGAGTTGCAAAAATGGGGTGAGAGGGCTTAAACCCAGATTGCTCTCCTTTGGGGTAAATTGGAGCACCGTTATTTTTTCCATCCTTTCAGCAGTTGTCTGCTAGCTATACCCTTAGTTTTGAAAGTAGAACAAAATCTTTCCTAAGCAAGCACGTCAAATGGATTTCCTCAAAACAAGTTGTATATTGTGGAATGTAGATAACTTTTTCCAGGGATTTCATGTAAGAATGAGATGGGAATTTCATGGCTCCTATTGATAAAGGCTGATTGAATCCAGGTTGTGTTATTATCTACCCAGAGATCTTTCTCGCAGTATCTGAACAGATTTTAAAATGAAGAGACGGTTTTAATTCTTAACCTTGTTAGTCCAAACAAGGACATCATGGAAGGTTATGTGCCAAGCATTCTCAAGATCAGCAATCCCAACCTTTGGGGCACCAGGGAGCAGTTCCATGGAGAGAGGTTTTTCCATGGCTGGAAGGGGTGTTGTTTCACATGCTGGCTGCATCCCGCAGATGAAGCTTCACTTATTTGTGTGATCTGGTTTCTGGCATGGCATGGCCTGGTGCCGGTCCACAGACCAAGGGTTGGGGACTCCTGCTCAAGATGTTAGTGAGAAATCAGAAGAGAAGATCATCATGACTTCATTTTTTGAATGCAAAGTATTTTCCTATATGAGTAGTGGGCTCTATTCCAGCAAATGAATGTAGTAGGATTGTGGTAAGCAGAAAACTCGAGGGAATTTTCTGAGTATTCAAAATTTTGTTTGAGACCAAGGGCCAAATGGTTTGAAGATAGGAAAGTCCTCAGGGAAGGGATACTCCATTTGGGTTTAAACCAGAGCTACTAACTCTACATTTAGAGTAGACTCCCTAACATTTGTGAGTGGTAAAAAAATATGATACGTTCATTACAGGAAGGGAACCAATCCAATGATAGAAATATTCAGTCTCAGAAGATGAATGTAACTATTCATTCTGATTTACACGAATACAATTTCCTGGCTACCCAAGCCCTCTTCATGATGACAAGGCCCAAGATTTATCTGAAACAAAGACTGAACAAAATATAATACGATGCTTAAAGAAAGATTTGTTGTATTATAGTCAGGGGACTATTTCCATTACCCTTCAATAAAGAATCAATCACATTACATGAACCAGATAATAAAGAACATGTTAAAATCCACAAGCTAAAATATTAAAGAATTAAGAAGACTGGTCTAACTATTAGGGCTGATAGATCTCTCTCCAAAATGGCAATAGCAATAGCATTTACACTTATATACCGCTTCACAGTGCTTCACAGCCCTCTGTAAGCGGTTTATAAAGTCAGCATATTGTCCTCAACAATCTGGGTCCTCATTCTACCGACCTTGGAAGGATGGAAGGCTGAGTCAACCTTGAGCCAGTGAGAATTGAACTGCTGAACTGCTGGCAGCCAGCAATCAGCAGAAGTAGTCTGCAGTACTGCATTCTAACCACTCTTTAGTGCCACCTTGGCTGTATAGGGCAGGGGTAGGCAACCTTGACTCTTTTATGACTTGTGGACTTCAACTCCCAGAATTCCTGAGCCAGCCATGCTGAGGGGAAAGGGAGAGGTTTCCAAGCAGAGCCATGCTGGCTCAGGAATTCTGGGAGTTGAAGTCCACGAATCATAAAAGAGCCAAGGTTGCCTACCCCTGGTATAGGGCAATTGTGAGGGCATTAATCATAAGAGGAAGAGAGCCAGGAACAAAGAAGACATAAAGAAAGCCAAAAGAATGGAAGGGGAATGTGACCCTCTGAAAACTATGAGGTGGGATCTGAGACAGTGATCAACAAAGGGTAATTCCCAGTCTAACTCTCTTTCTGTTACAGAATATTAAGGTGAGAAAGGACTTTATCAAATCAATATCTGGTTCTACTGAAAACCGAATCCTCTAAATTCAACGGGCAATCCATCCTGAGAAAACATACGAATAGTTTTAAGTTTCACTAAAGACAATCTCTCCACCAAAAATCAAACAATAAGTAAGGGGATAAAAAAAATGTAAATGCAGCAGTATATTTTTTAAGCAAATGTTTTTAAAACTTTTTTCTTGAGAGATGGATAAATGAAGTAGTTTTCTCAGGAGTCAATTTTCTGGACTTCATCATGAATTCACAGTAGTTGCCAACGTTTGGAGAGATGGTTTTTGGATAATCCATATCAGGCTTTTTTTTTTTTTTTGTCATAGAACGCACAGAATGGAGTTCCGGCACCTTTTTGGGATGGAACCTTGTAGAGTAGGCAAGGTGGGTTGTATGACATGTGTGAGTTCCTCCACCTTTTTTTTTTTTTTTTTTTACAAAAAAAGCACTGATCCATATGCTTCCTTATGAACCTCCTTTTGAAACTGTCAGCTTCTGTCTCCAGGACTATCTAAGCAAATGAAAAGAGACTACAGAGCAAGTGTGTTCTGTTTCTTGCGTCGGTATTTCTTTATTTCAGGCTGAACAGAGAAAGAGGAAAGAAAGAAAGGAAGAAAAGAGAAAGGGAAAGGAAAGAGAAAGAGGGGGAGGGGGAGAGAGGAAAGAGAGGAAAGGAAGGGAGAAAGAGAAAAGAGAAAGGGAGATGAAAGAAGGTGAGGGAGAGGAAAGAAATAGAAAGAGGGAGACAGGAAAGAAAGGGAGAAAGGAAAAGAAGAAAGAGAAAAGAAAGGGAGGGGAGAGAGGAAAGAGGAAAGAAAGGGAGAAAGAGAAAGGGAGATGAAAGAAAGGGAGAGGAGGAGAGGAAAGAAATAGAAAGGGAGAAAGAGAGGAAAGAGGAAGAAAAGAAAGGGAAAGGAAAGGAAAGAGGGAGAAAGAAAAGAAAGGGAGATGAAAGAAGGGAAGGGAGAGAGAGGGGGGAAAGAAATAGAAAGGGGGAAAGAGGGAGAAAGGAAAAAAGGGAGAGGAAAGAAAGGAAAGGAAAGAGGGAGAAAGGAAAGGAAAGAGGAGAGAAAGGGAGAAAGGAAAGAAAGGGAGAAAGAGAGGAAGGAAAGAAAGGGAGAGGGAGAGGAAAGGGGGAGAGAGTAAATAGAAAGAGGGAGAAAGAGGAAAGAGAAAAGGAGAAGAAAGAGGAAAGAGGAAAGAGAAAGGGAGGGAGAGGAAAGAAAGGGAGAGAAGAAAGAGGGAGAGGAAAGAGAGAAAGGGGGGGGAAGCGCAAGTGCCCCCCCCCCTCTCTCTCACACACACACAGGGGGAAGAAGACTAGCAGACCAAGGGCAGAAAGAGGGAGGGGGAGAGGGAGAGGGAGAGAGAGAGAGAGATCCTTTTGACATCTAAAATGAAGATAAGACTGCATATATCCATATATATATGGATATATGCAGTCTTATCTTCATTTTAGATATCCAAAGGGTTTTGCGGCTCCCTGTGTTTTGTTTTCAGTGGGAAACGGGTCCAAGTGGCTCTTTGAGTATTTTGGGTTGCCTACCCCTGATATAGATATAGATGATATAAATGATATAGCTATAGCTATAGATAGACAGTGCTTTTTTGTAAAAAAATTCACACACGTCATACAACCTGCCTTGCCTACCCTACAAGGTTTATCTTTGTAGTTGAAAAAAAACCTTTCAATTTTTAGTGTATCTAAAAGACTAGGATTTTGTTCAATAATACTATTAATGTTACCATGCACATATCTGTTGAAAAAAGGTAATAGTAATAGTAGTAAAGTAGTCCTCAACTTACGACCGGTTGAGTAGTCCTCGACTTATGACCAGTTGGGGTCATGGCATTAAAAAGGTTGAGAACCACTGACCTAACACATAAGAGTATCCATTTTTGGCTCAAAAAAGGAATTGCTGCCTGCAAACAGAATTGTTGACCTCTTGGCTTGACCACAATGTTAAGTTTGTTTAAACCTTGAACCAAATTGGGGAATAATATTTAGAGTGGGAAAGCGAATCATGTAACAGTACATACAATTTGTTCTTGC